AAATTTATTTCAAAAACAGCAATAATATTTGCTTAAACTAATTTTCAATTTCTATTTTTTTAAAACTATTTTTATTTATTTATTAATGATTTCTTTAATTTTACGCATTTTGTCTCTTATTAATATACATGAGACACTTATTTTTTGTGTAAAGTAATCATTTGCAAAATTTGCAGGGTGAATTAATCATTTGCAGTTTTTTTGTAAAGTTTTGCAGTTTACTTTTGCAAAGCGCAAAGTAAAAAGTATTGGTGCAACAGAAAGTGCAAAAAAAAAAACAGTTTTTTGTCAAATATTTCACTTTTCTTTTCATACTTTACTTTTTATTGAAAAGTACATTTGTGCAACGCTTTGCATTTTTTGAGTGTTTTCAAAACTTTGCATAACTCAATTCTCAAATTAATGCTTTATGTTCTCAATGAGAGAAAAATGCTCAGAAACTCATAATAATTTGCAAAGTGCAAAGTGAAAAGTGTTGGTGCAACAGGGCCCACACCAATGACTCGCCTTCAGTACGGGTCGCCGATACTCGGACGCGGGAGAAGGAAAACATCTTAGGGAGGGGTCTGTTTATATTCTAGGCTCCCAAGGCTAGGTCTAGATAGCCTGGAGTATGAACAAACCAATTGCCCCAAGCAAACCCCCTTAACTCACAGTGGAACACCTAAGCTGGTGAACTTGCTTGACGAGGTAGAGTCAAGCTTAATAGCGAATTCTGTATCAGGTCTGACAAACGTCAATTTCAATTTTAATTCGTCATTTCCATTGGGGGCGCTCATGGGTGACCAACCTGCACGGTTTGTTAAAATTTGTTTTGTATGGATCTAAATACATTCAATTCTATGGACAGAACATTTTTAAATGTGCAAAATATGGCCTTACACAGCCAAAACTCATCACTAGCCGAAGGTGCACCTGGTACCTTCGTCAGTGAACCAATGGACTACGACTTGTCGGAGGGGCACCTGGTCCTCTATCGGACAAGCCGGAGAAGATGGATATTCCACTTAGCCAGGAGTAGGTTGGAATGTCTATTTCCTCGGAACAGGAGAGAGATCTTCTTGAGCCTGGTCCAACTAAAAAGACTCAAACGAGGGTCAAGCTATCCGGCGCTGGACGCAAAAAGTTGAAGGTTTTAATTGCCAAGGGCATCCCGCGGTAATGCCGGCCACCGCGACTAACGAAGCACAGGCAACACCAAAAAGATCCCGATCGGACAGCTCTGCATCAACATCGAGCTCCAAACCGACAAAGTGGATTGCACTACAGGGCAAAAAAGTTGATAACAAATCGACAGTGCCTGCAACTGCTTTGCCGATTTTCAGCAGGATGAAGGATATAGAGACCTCACACGGAGACAAACCTGGTCCCAAAAAAGCGGTGGTAACGGTATCTGTGGGGTATGCCGAACAGAGCGCTTCTTTTGAAGATCTCTGTTCAAAGCCTACTCCAGCATAGACTGTTCGCTATAAGAAGATCGGTATACTACCGCACAATTTCTCAGAGCGCATTTGGTCCGATGAGGAAATTGGTAAGTTGCAGAAATGAATCCTCGACAAGATGTACGAAACTTGTCGAGTTCCTGGTGTGAAGCCCGCACTTCGCTGGTTACAGTCTTAAGCCCGAATGGTTTGCCATTAACTGTCTGAACAACGAAACTGAAGCTTAGTCTAAGAAGATAATTCCAGCTTTGAAGCCGTGGAAAGGAGCCCAGCTGAAGGTATTAGACGAGGCAGAAGTGCCAATGTCTGGCAAAGTGACCTAATTTTGGGACAAATTTGAGTTCTAAAATTCGGGCAGGCGTGTCAGAGATAATAAAGTCCTCTATGGACTTAGTAGTGCCTTGATGAGACCAAGACATAAATGAAACAGGGCAAAAGTAGTGGTTGACGATGAGCAACCATCAACATCTGCGGTGGTTCGTGCTCACACAAGCACCCAGAAGTCGAAAACGGGTCCCATCTCCGGGGAACCACCATTGAGAAGGGGAAGAACCCATGCCCAAGGCCGGAAATGCTGCGCGGTACGAATGGCGACAAGGATAGCAAGGGCCAGTCTGGAAAAGAATGTCCCGGACTCCGTCACGACCACAAAACTCCTAGAAACAGCTTAATTGCCTCCAAATCAATCTCCACCGGGCTATAGCAGCCTCATATGGGCTCACTGCCTTGATGGAACAGCATTGTCTGGATTTTGTGGCCATTCAAAAACCATGGGCCACAAACGGACGCATAAATGGTCTACAGGCAAAAACGTGTAAGTTAATTTATTATAATAATGTTGAACGTCCTAGAGTGGCGATAATGATTAACAAAACCATTAAATCTGTTCCAATTACAGAGCTCATACAGCGTGATTTGATGGCGGTACAGGCAGAAGTGCCTAGTACTAAGGGAACGAGAGCAATTGTCTTTGCATCTCTGTACCCTTCAGGTGACGCAGAGGAAGCGGTGTCTCTCGAGCTCCAGCAGCTTATGAAATACTGCCATATCCGAAACCTACAGTGGGTAATATGTGCAAAACATTAGTTTTCTTGGGGATAGGATTACTAATTGATAAGCATATGTCTGGAATTCTTCGTGCCTTAAGGTCTTTGATAAGATGACTAGAAAATTAGCTTTCTCCAGGGAATTCGAAGTGGTCATCAGTGGCCGATCCACTTGGAGAAACAATGAATATAAGACAGGGCTTTCAGGAATTATGGGACCGAAATTTCGCAAAGCAATCGCAATGAGAAAAACTGCTTCCATTTTTCAGGCAGACGTCTATGCCTTAGAACTATGTGCGAGAGAATGTCTAAATAGAAGCACCCGAGGTATCAAAATATGCATTCCTTCAGACAGCCAAGCAGATCTAATATTTGTGTCAAAATGTTCATTTCAATCAAAGTTGGTCTGGGAATGGTATCAACCTCTCAATACCATAGCATCGAGGAACTATGTTACTCTTATGTGGGTACCGAAACACGAAGGGCATGAGGGCAATGAAATAGCAGACTCCTTAGCAAAGAGGGGTGCATGTACTCTTTTCATTGGTCCAGAGCCCTTCTCGGGGACTTAATTACCACATGAAGATTATAGGTGCGGTAGAAAGTGACTCTTGTCGACTTTGTCATTAGGAGAAGGAAACATCAGAACACATTCCATGCAACTGCTCAGCGCGGGCAAGACGTAGACTCAACTACCTTGAAAGCGGAATCTTAGTGTCAAATCAAATAGGTAAAATTAAGCCCACTGCAATTACAACATTTATAAATAGTCTAGAATTGTCTTAGTTGGGCCTTTAGAAGCATAATAGATCTTTTAGGTCGGGGTGTTTTCATAGCCTGTTGTGTTTGTGTTTTTATCATCTAATTTCATTTTATTTAAATATAAAATTCGTTATGGGCTAGCAGACAAATCAAATAAAAGAAATTTTTATTATACGAACATTTTTCGACTTTTTGTATAGACGCCATTCTAAAACTAATCGTACAATATGCGTTAAACTTTAACAGAATGTGTATAATAGTATTGCCAGTGTGAAAATAAAAAAAATTTACCGATTGGATAAGCGCGGAAATTCAAAAACAGGCCCCTCGTTCTTTTTTGATCAGAAGGTACAACACTGTGCTCAGGTGCATAAAAACACCTTCAGCAAATCCGGAAGAAGATAAATATATCTTTTCTATATATGTTATTTTTATATCTATTGTCATAGTACTGTATAAATATTTTCTATAACATAACATATGTATAATTCATGTTTCGATGTTAATATATTTTATTGTTGTTTCTCTGTGATATGGACTAAATTATTGTTACATTGTATTTAAATTTTATAGTACCCTGATGATGACTGTAGAATATAGTCGAAATATTGGAAAAAATAATATTTTAAAAACAAATAAATATTTTCAAAAAGTTTATTAATTAACTGTTGACCAAAAGCCCCGTAAAAAACAAAATTATTTTTAAATAATTTTTTGGTCATTAAAACAATACATTAATAATGATGTGTTGTGTTTCTAACAAGTCACCAGAACTGCCACATGCATTGCCATCTGGATGTTTAGTGTGTATCATAAAACTTATATCCATAAACTCTTTGGGCTGGGGGTGCTCTGTCTTTGGGCAACGTCTATTTTTTGTCTTAGGGCAGCGAAAACTGTACAACCTCTCAGTTTGCTGTGTGGCTATCACCGTAGTTTGAACATTTTCTAACAGCTGGGTTTTTTTTGCTTTCAGGACATTTATCTGAGCTATGGGAATAATACTACCTTTTTTACAATCACTTCGGTGGTAATTTTTTTAAATTTGATGCATTGAAATCATGGTTTATTGTCAAGAAATCAAAATAAAGAACTAAAATTATGTTCCCTGTTGAACTCATTGCTCATAAAAATTTTCTTAAGAGTGTGTTATTTATCAAGTTAAGCGGTTACGGACCTAAAGACAGTAAAGTTGAAAAAATTTGTGCATTTTTAGATGGTATTTGTACAATTTCTGAGAGTGTGGTTGTTATTTTGTGTCCCCAGTAGAAAACAGATCGAACCGTCCTTAAAGACGTCTTGAAGATATGGATATATACATAAAAATATATCGATCCAAATCTATGACGATCTTCGAAAGAATTAGACAAATGTCATCAAAGGCATTTTATTTACATGTCTCAAAGAATTTCTCGAAGACTATGTCTTGCATAATGGATGCATTCGATTAAAAGTTGTGCACTCTTAGCGCATTTTTTTATTTCTTCCCCTCTTGAGCGCTCTTTACATTGTAACTAAATTTCAATATTTCTTTAAATAAGTATAAAAAAATTTATACATATGTTGTAAGAAATTTTATTTTTATTTATTTTATATAATAAATTTTTACATTATAATATATTTAAAATTTAAAATTATGAGTTTTAAAATTACAATAAAAGTAAATTATAAATTTTATTATAATTTATAAATATATTGATATTTAAAATAAATTAAATAATACAAATTAACTTAAATAATAATGCTGTAGGCCTGTTACAAAATCATTGCCTTTTTCCATTTCTTGTTGCTTCTGTAAATTGAAAAGAATTCTTATTTTAAAAAGCAGCTGTATTGAAAAAAATATTCTATTACATCAATAATAGTATCCAGCAAAAACGAATACTCCCGCAAAATGTTTTTCCTTTGACACTACCGCGGTTATGGGACTGAATTATAATTTTACTAAAGACGGCTTCAATATTTGCAGCATTTCTCGGCAAGACTTTTTCTATATGAAAGTATATTTACAGGTTATTGTAAATATAATATATATGTATATATATATATGTATCTTAAATGAAAATTAGTTTTATTTACCTCACAAAATGTTAATTCACTTCACTTCAAAATTATAGCGTCACTTCACTTATAAAACATAGTGTCATATGATACAAAATTCAAATACGTTGATGTGAACACTACAAATGGGAGTGAAAACAAAGAGAGCAGACTATTTACATTCATGTTTTGAGAAATTGTTTTGCAAATTTGCTTAAACATGCGGACGCAGTATTAAGAACCGTTTCGAAGACAATGTCGTCAAAGATCACTTTTTCTAATAGGTATAGAAAAGTGATCACTTAGCATTTTCCCACATCGTAAAATTATAATTGTACGATCGTCCGCAAAAGAAACTGACGCAACAAATTTAAGCACTTATCCGGTGCAATATTAAAATAATTATAAAGTTTAAATTCAGTTTAAAACGAAATTCACAATTAACAGGTATCTTTTAAATAAACTCTAAATCTAAAATACAATTGTTGTTTTTTTAGTGAACAAATTAAGATGCCATAACTGGCGCCTCACTAAAAAGTAGAAACAGTAATCGTAAGTACTGCATAGTGTAACTGATTTCTTCATTAAATTAAGAGTTAATTAATAAAAATTAATTGAAAAAATCAATTATTACAAATCAATTCACAGTTCTAAATATAATAATATAAGTTAGAATAATACAGTATAATAAAGTTAAAAATAAAATACTCAGAACTTTTCCTTTTAACGAATAAACTAATCTAATCACAGTGATTAGAATTAATAAAAACTCTAACAAATAAAGTAACCTATTCATAGTGAAATTAAGAAAGTTAATAACAAAATTAGAGATAAAATACTTTTAATAACACCTGTAAATCGTAGTGAAAAATTAAAAAAAATTAAGAATAAAACACTAATTACAGTGGAAAAGCAAAAATTACTTATAAAATTAAAATAATTAAAAGCCATAAAAATCGAACTAGCTAGCTAAAATTTAGTTAAGAATTCATTTTATACTATTTTTATTTATTGAACTTTTGGCTGATCATACAACTGTTTCGAATATTATCAAATACCCATCATCAGTGGTCTTGGAAATAATTCTTGTATTTAATTATTGACGAATAATTTCTTTTTGAGACTGCAAGTATCAAGAATCGAACTTGTACCCTACCAAATTTGAAGCTCAGCGTCAGCGCTCCTTAATCAACTGACCCAAAGCCGTACTTGAGTTTTGATTTTTCTAGAGTTTTGTCACTTGACTGTGAAAGTTTTATTAACAAATTCACTTGCTGTGTTTACATTAGAAGGAAATCATTCATCAGCTGTAGAATAGTTGAATTAATTAATCATATTTTTAGTATTAATTGTTAAATTTCAATACTATTCTGTTTGCAGAGGCATTATTTGATGTATGATTTATATGTTCTTTCTTATGTATAAAAACTAGGAACGCAATACTGAGAAAAGCATACTAATGCTACTCCAAAAAAATAATATAAAGATTAAAACCGAATTTAATACTGTACAGATAAGCAAAGAGTATAGGAGCCTGAGTAACTATAGTAAAAAGGACAAAATCTGGAATACCGAAGTCAAAAGAAAAATGTTGAGAATATTAATGTTAGTGAAATTAAAATAAAGTTCGCAAACATTTAAAGAACAATATTTTCCAAGGATTTAAACAAGAAATTACAATCAATCAGACACAAAAGTGTATATCATATTTAAAAGGAAAAATACTTAATTATTATATCAATACAAATATTAGAAATATATTAGAAAAAAAAAAGCTTAGAGAAAAAGTGTCTACCGCATGTTCGAACTATACTGTAATCTGAGAGGAATGGCCAAATAATTTGGATAATAAGCACAGTTAAAAACAAAATTACAGAGCAGACTAACATTGCTCTGGAATCATACAATACTCCTCTTAATTGGATAGCTATAAAGTAATGTCTTAATAAAACTACGCTGAAAGGAAAGGCATTGGAACCCTAGAATATCAACTCTATAGTACAGGGCAACGATTTAACAGAAGAATCCTACTAAATAGTTCACAACCACTCTCATTAATACTTGACAAAATCTCGACTATTGTATATGACGAATAAACCGAAACGGTTTTTATCGACTTATTCAGAAATAAACCGTTGGACAAATTTTTTCGCTGCTTAAATGGAAATTTACCCATATTATTAGCTATGAAAAAATCGGCAAATGTTCCGCCAAAAACAATATTTATGCACTTAATTTGCAAATCAAAACTTTAAAACCAAATACGCGTGCAATAACCAATTTTTTCTAGAACTTACACACTTTGGAAGACCAAACCTGTCTACATTTCACAGACTACCACCACCTCCATCACCACGTAAATTCTATCCTTCACAAAAACAAACACCCTATTCAAGATCACAACTTTTATCGAAAACAATAAAATATTTAGCTTAAGCAAAACCCTTCACTAAGATCATTTGCACCAAAACCTTTATCACCACCGGAACTCGGATGTAGATCGCTGCGTAAGAAGTATTGTAGGGATGGAAATTTTGTACAAATTCCCAATTTACATACAATGGCTTTATTCTTGTTGGTGAATCATCTACAAGAAATAAAGTGCATTAAAATTAACATCGAGATAATAAATAAATATGTTACTTACCTGGAATAATTCCCCAGCACACTCGTCTACATCATTCTTCAATGGTTGGATGTTCCTATAATTGAATTTATTAAATATAATTAACATTTAGTAAAATTGAGAAAAATTATAAATACCTTTACAATACCACTTTAAGCACGTTACTTGCCGTTATAAAAACAAAAGTAAATTTCGTTTATATAAATAATTTTATTACATTAATTATTAAACTCCGATTTCTTTAACTAACTTTATTTATTTTAATAAGTTTTATTCAATTTAAAAAACGTGCACTTGTAAAAAATTAAAAATGTAAACAAACATTTGCAAACGTCAGAATGCAATTCGCTGCAAAAAGATGCACAAGAAAGCTTTTGTGCAAAAGTGTTAAAATGCATTAAGTTCAACTAAGATCAACTCAAAGCTTTGTGTACTTTACACAAAAAGTTCAAGAGGATGCATATAAAAGACGGCGCATTTTTCTAAGAATTTAGTGAGTCTTGTATGATCACTCAGTGGCATTATATGTGAAACTATAAAATAAATAAAATAAATCATTCCTTGACACGAACGGCGGTTTTAAGTCTAAGTGTATAGTGTGGGCGGTCTTAAGCCCACTTACGTGAACACTATTATACATATATTCAACAATAAAAACCCATATATATTTTGCTAACCCTTTTATTTGACACAGGTAGAATCAAAAGTCACATCAAAGGAATACAAGACCAACACCATCAATTCCAAATTATCAATATTGCAAACGTTCTCTCAATAGCCACGCCATCAATTTCAAAATAGCAACCTCCATGATCAACGTGTCATCCGAGTCAAGAAACAATTACCTGTTCATCCAAGCTTTACGTAATTAATTTCTTTTCTTTGTTTTATATAATATTTTTATAAAGAGGTTTTTTTCGAACAGTAGTGAAATACAACAACAAAAATTTATTTTTTATATTATTTTAATTAATTGAATTTTTGGCTAACCATACAGCTGTTTCGAGTATTGCCAAATACCCATCATCAGTGATCTTGGAAATAATTCTTGTATTTAATTATTCGTAAATAATTATTTTTTTTGAGACTGCAAGTACCAGGAATCGAACTCGGGTCCTGCCAAATGTGAAGCTCAGAATCAGCGCACCTTAACCAACTGATCCAAATCCGTACTTGACTTTTTTGTTCGTATATTTTTCTGGAGTTTTGTTACTATTACTATGAAAGTTTTTATTAACAATTTTTACTTGCTGTGTTTATATTAGAATGAAATCATAAACCAGCTGTAGAATAATTGAATTAATTAATTAATTATAATTTTTATTTTCAATTGTTAAATTTCAATACTATTCTGTTCGTAGAGGCATTATTTGTTGTATGATTTGTTCTTTCTTATGTATAGAACCTAATCTAGGAACGTAATGATGAGAAAGTCATACTAATGTTACTCTACTAGTCGCACGGGCGAGATAATATTTTTATGAAATTTTAAATAAATAAGCAATAAGTGTCGTTACAGTTTGTTCGTCAACTATGTTATGCTTATAAACAAAAACAACAAGCACAAACGAGAAAAAGTTTCAATGATCAAAACCAAAACATTTCACCACGAAAATAACAATGCAATTTTTATATAAATGCGCCAAACACTAGCACGCTGGCATTATCATGTTCACTATTGTTTTCTAGCATATTTAGTGGAGCAGTCGCATTGCTTCGTGGTATTGGTTTAAATGCTGATACTACTTCCGGATACTTTAGTGATATTATTTTCCATGGCAACATTACACCTTTAAGATTTATGACACAGAAATAGCACTGAGAATGGTTTACAATCTCTTTGGAAAATGACAAATAATTTCTGAAAGTTTTATTCGATTTTTAAGCTAAGCCACTCGTCTTTAACATCAATCAAAAAATATTTTCTTTTAATATTAATATAATATAATATTATGTTGTGACGATTTTTTCCAACACGTCACAAATAAATTATGATAGTTGAAAATAGCATGAAGTTATTATAGTAAACAAATAAAAAAAACCCAACAACAGAATTAAAACTATTTTTAGTCGAAAAATATATATAGCATGAAGTTATTATTATTATTGTAAACAAACAAAACAATAGAATTACGCTATTATTAATAAAACCAAACCCACGGGAAAAAATATTAGTCTAAGCTATGAAAAAATATATAAAGTATTAATAAAGTAAAAGGAATTATTTTAGAAAGTAAGATAATAATAAGTAATTATAAATTATCATAGAATTTAGTTGTCAAAATTAAGAGAAACAATAAATCTCTTGAAAATACAAATTAAGTAATAATACTTCCGATATCTTTGAGGGTAATTATTTTTGCAAAATTTTAATAATAAATATGCAGCGAACAACAATAGCAGAACATAGCGAAATCAGTAGCAGGCAATAACAACTTAGAAGAAAGCTACACAGTATGCACTCAGAAGTCAGTTATCCCGTTATATAAAATCCGTATAAAAGGAGAAGCAAAGTAAAACACAGGGACTTGGCCACAGCACTTCGAACAGTGCACATCACCAGAGGGACTTGGCCACAGCACTTCGAACAGTGCACATCACCAGAGGTTCAATCACAGGTCGTGAAGCAGAACACTTCACAAGGTAATCACAGAGGTAATTATTAAGTCATAGAACTGATTCCTAGCAACACAGCCCTGTCGGTAGTGTTGTTTC